AAGCTAATGTCACGCCTACGCCACAGGTGACGTAGGTTCGCAAAAGCTGCTCTGGCCTTCTCAATCCTGGTGGAAATTTCATCTTTCGTGAGACCACCGGAACTGATACAGCTGCCCAGGTAAACAAATTTGTCTACTACCTCAATCGGTTCATCCGCAAGCATGAGGTTAGGGTTCGAGCCCACCCAGTCTTGCAGTAGCACTTTACACTTTGCAGGTGTGAAGCGCATGCCAAACCGCGAGGCGTTCGCCTAGTTACCGAGGCGTGGCTCGAAAGTTCCGAGAAGAAAAACTGAATCCACGTGATTCTTTTATTACGACGGTGAAAGACACGTGAAATGGCGCAAAATCTTTTGTATGGTCCCCGTGTTTTTCATATGAAGAAACTATCGATTCGACTAGTGTTTCACCGGTGTGACACACGTGCCCGAAATGACTAAGGAAACTACTAACCGAAAGATTCATGGTTCGAACCCAACCCGTGTATCTCGACCGCTCATGTCTAGGCTTAGGCAACCTGGCAAGATCTCAGCTCTCGCGCTTCTTTAGGGTGGGATAGCAGCTAGCTACCAAGGACTGAAAAGTGATTTTGACCGTCCAAATGAGTGCTGTGGGATCTTTGCTTCTTCCAAGATGAGGTGTGGTGTATGCTATCAATTCCTACCTTTCAATCTAAAGTTCGCCTGTCGTTGTGCGATAGGCTTGCATCTGGTGGGGGTCACAGAGCATGCTGGGTTGACCCCACCGATAGCGTCTTACTCCAATATAGTGCTCAGCTATGCTTTTTTCAATGCTATCCGAAGGTGTACACACATTGTATAAATGTGATGCACTACTAATAAGGTTGCTGAAAACTCTTCGACGGCACACGGCTGGTTTCTCCCTTCTTGGGGCTCATCAGGTAAGCACCTTATTCTAGGTCACGTCAAATCCACGCTCTCCAATTTACCAAGAATTTCCTCCATCAAGCGTGTATGGCAGTTAAACGCAAGCACATATTACTGGCGCGTTGCTGTCAGGGATGTTGACGCATCAGAAACAAGTACTGGAAAGAAACGAAGAAACTTAAAACGAGCTCAAAATACCGGAAACAAGTCGGTTAGGCTCCATACTACTTATAGGAACCTGAAAATCCGCTCTGTTTGAGCACCGAAATCAGTCCGAGTGTGCTCAGTCAGTGCTGTTAATCAGGTGACCGTTTATCTATTCGCCATACCCAGCAACTGCTTTGCGAACGCTTCGCTACCATGTGAGGACACGTGACCGTTGTGCGGTTGGATGGGTAATTCGTCCCCTTCTAATGCCTGTAACGTGATTGGTTGTTTTGTGATCAGCCAGTACGTTATTTGGTTGGTCCATTTAGAATTTCTGCTGAGCTGTGGTCTGATTCTCATACAATTAGTTGGGCCATAAAAATAAATACTATATTGCCTCTGTCAGCAAGAGATTAGGTTTATCGATGCTTTGATAATCCTTCAGTTCGTTCGATTGCTCAACGTTGTCTTTTCCAGAGAATCCAGGAAACCGAAGACTGCGATCCACCATGTCGAAACGGTGGCATCTGTCGTGACGGTAAAACATGCGAATGCTTGCGTGGATATCGAGGACCTGATTGTTCAGAAGATATCAACGAGTGTGAAGAATATCAACCGTGCGATCCTCAGTTTGCCCAATGTGTAGATCGGCCTGGCGGATTCGATTGCATCTGCCGTCCAGGCTATCGGCTCATGGTGGACGGTCGCCACTGCATGGAAGAGGAGCGAGCAGAACGTACACCTCATCTGGCTTACCGCGGCAGAGGTCAAAAAGGCATTGTGGTTGCTAGTCCTTACCCAGGTGCCTCACCTGTGTCCAATGGGCAGCCATTCAATGAGGATGTTCGAACCAAGCGCCGGAGAAGACAGCCACGAGAGCCTCAAACCCGTTCGAGCTTTCGCAGGCGTGTTTACCGAAATACGCCAACAATCCACAGGCGCCAAGAAAGGAAAGGTGACCCAGCCCCTCTACGGCGATCGATTTCCCCATTAACGTATTTTAAAGTTTACCGTACTCGATATTAGTCGAATTTGTGACTAGGATTTTCTTGGATCTTCTCCCGCGATCACCGATGAATTTCGTTCCATTTTATTCCCTCATGCACAGAGTACCATTTTTCTTGTACAATGATTGATATTCACCTCCCGTCTTTTTTTCAAACTTCTGGAACATATTAGCTTGTTCAACCGAAATATGTTTGCTTGTTTGTTGTGAACCAATGAGTCACAAGCTGTGAGGATGTGGTACCCTCTAAAAAAAGTCTTGTTTCTATGCATCAATATCGTTTTCGTTAACATTGATTCCAACGTTTGAATTTTCATATGGTGAAATAAATGTTACACAATTTGGCAGATTAGAATGGTTCTCTTTTTGAAACATGCATTCACATGACTCCCGCTTGAACAGTTTTCCTTCTGTTTTTGAGCAATTGTCCTGATGAGTCCGCACGAAGGGGGGGAGGAAGCACTAGAGTTNGAGCAGGGGAGATGTCTGTACTGCCAGGACAAAACACACAGAGAGTGTGTGTATATATATATATATATATATATATATATATATAGGATGACTAAATGGCCAAATATGGTCGTTCACTTGTTCGTTCTGTACAACCAATGGCAGTGTTCCGGTCGTGAACAATTTCAGCCCCACTCCACTGGTCTTATGTTGCTAAGCCGTGTTTGGCGAGCTCATCCAACACACCTGCTATCCGAAACGTGTCGTACCGATGATGACCTTGTGGATGCGTCACTCTCCGCACCTGTACTTTTTCAATGTCTGGGCGCATCCTGACAGTTTCGTTCAAGCGTGAACGTGTCCACCTGTTCAGACGTAAAAGTTCAGGTACAACCTGCGCCGGTGGAGTAGCACGCTCGCTTCGCACGTCAGATGTGCGGAGTTCGAACCCCGGCACGGCCATTGGATATGCACTGCTGCTCGCTCGAGTCCGTTGCTCCCCGCTTTTCGGTGTGGACTCACCAGGACGATTGTGCGAGGACAGGAGGGCGATTGCTCAAAACCAGAGTCACGTGGGTGCCCGTTATCCGCACAATGCTCTCGGCCGCAAAATGTTCACAGGTGGATTAAAACTTTCTACTCCAAAATACTGCATTTTGTTGTGTATGTGCTCAAACCAGAAACCGTCCTAGTCTACATTCATATTTTTGCAGCTCACCAAGTTTCATTGTTCACTGAAGCAACCATGCTTCTGCCTGGAAAGTCCCGTGGGATAAGTTCCCAGCATCGCTGAGACCTCGGGATGCCTAAATGGGACTTAAACGTCTGGACCGCTACTCTCAACTCAATTGCCCGATTGCTTTAGTCCATCAGGGACACGTCAATTCTATTGTGTGAAAACTGAGCGCCAGTCATCTGAGTACGTATTCGAAAAAGTCCCGCAACCGCCAACATCTAGTTCTCTTTTACTTCTGAAAAATCTTGTGGAACTATGCACACAAAACCAGGGAGTCAACCTAACTGCATGCAGATTTCAAAGTGTCAAATAGCTAGAGGATAATTCCCACTTTTGACCGGAGTTTTCGAAGCTCCGTTTGAGTTTTGTGACTCCGGAGAACACGAATGAAAATTCTTCTTCAGCGACCTTATGAGTAGTACATTGTGGATATACATGTAGCGCGATATCTTCAATATCGTAGCACCTGAAACATGAGGCGGCCTGGGGCAGCACATTCAGTTGCCTGGAGACATCACAAACGAGAGATTCAGCTGGGTTCCAGGTGAGTCTCCGCAGAACCAAATTTGTTTGTAAATGAGTGTATTTCGTTAAGATTCTTACCGTAAAGGTGAGATAACATCTGAAACGCTGCTTTTTGTTGCTTGGAGAATGGATGAAACAGTGAAGAGTCAGACGTTCAGTGCTCTTGGGACAAAATCGCGTATGGAACTGAAGAGGATTGATTCAGCGTATAGTCTAGAAGTTCATTCGCAGAGCAACGCAGAAACATCTAAATGAGTTCAGCGGGATAAAACAGCCTTTTGGATATTCCGGTCCCTGTTTCCACCGGTAAAATCCTGTTACAAGATAGAAGAAGGAGTTTATTACTTTACGCTGTTATTTAAAAAAAACTGTGATGACAGTGTACTTTAGACAACTGTGACAAGATTCCTAAAGGATTTCNTATATATATATATACCTTTGGTGACCATTTGCAAGCAAACGTCACACTGCAGTTATTGTGTTTTCAAACGAAAATTGACCACCAAGTAGCTGCAAACTAAAGTAAAGATCACGTGTGGAAGCTTTCTCACTTTTAAGATGGAAGTACAAAGTGCCCTTGGCCTCAGTGAAGATAACGGTATTGTTCAGGGGAAGAGTTCTCAAACTGCGATGGATGAAGTCCTAAAATAGACGTCCATTGTGAACCAATGAACACTTTTATCGCTTAGAAAATATGTTGTGGGTTTCGCACTCAACACGAAGGAAGCTCCGTTGTGCACACCCTGACAACTCACGGATATATTGTAGCCCTGCAGCTACAATCGTTTTTTTCCTTTTGTACACTGGAGCGAAAGAAACAGCATCAATCCACAAAACAGTGCGTCATTCCTAGAAAGCTTAGCACTCAATAACTAAGGGTTTGGGTAACAGCATCCAAGAGCGTCAAGGTCAGAGCTTTTGCGATTACCAATGACCAATGAACGGGAGCGTCAGAATACGCTGCCAAAGGTCACACGGAAGTCAACCAATCAGAATGCAGCAGGCTAACGGGTAATCCAAACAAGCTAAGGTGAAAAAGACAAGAGTAAGCAAAGACTCGCGATGCGTATATAAACAAATGCATGTAACCGCACTCGCCCTTTTCACGTTCACCACAAAGCTTCGCTTCTCAACGGCTCACCGACGATGTCACATCAGCAGGTGATGAGTCATTTGGGTCCCGATTGCTCAGCTTATGTAACAAGTCACTGGTCAGCCAGCTTCACCTGTTCGCTTCAACAACACACCATTCGAGTTCTGGAAAACTATACGGCTCGCACATCAACCTATCGTTTCGATCGCCTAGAACATCATACATACTGCAGACTTTGGTTGTTGTATTCATGGAAGCCACAAAGCTGAATCACACAAAACAGCTGTTTGAAGACATTACATTACGTTCACAATAGCTAGATTTCGACTCTACCATTTGCGCTTGATACAGAAACCTGTTTGAGAAGGGGTGTGGGTGACCGATGGTCCTACAACAATTCCTGCTCTCACGGGAACGTTGGTTTTCCCACAAGTCGTGAAGCTGCAGAATTTGTGGCATTTTTACACACACACACAACTCTCGTTTAGGCGTGTGCATACTAAACAGTCTTCGATAACCCTCAACAGGCTTTACGCTTTTTAGAACTCATCCGCTAGACGCAGTACTCCCGCATTCGGCAGCGTTATACTCCACGTAAGTCCCGATTGTCCCGAGAGAGTCACCTGAATCGCAGCTGAACCTCTCATTTACGACATCAAAAAGAACGTAATGAACGAGAGATTCAAATGGGATTCAGGTGAGTCTCCCTGAAAGACCCGATTGGTATTCAACTAATTGTATTTGACAGAAAACGAGTTCCTCATTCACTCACAAGTGGCGCGCCTTCTGAAAGATTGTGAACCCGTAATTCAGTTTGTTTTTGGCCATTCTCCATAAGCGATCGAACAGGAATACGAAGTGTAGGACAAACTTCATTTCAAGCCCTATTCACTGCTCAGTATCGAGTAAGAAGCTAACTCACATCCTCATAAACATGAAACACACTGAAAATTAGAGAAAATGTCTATCCATTACAAAGCTGTTCAGCTGTTGAACCCTTTCGGCGCCTAACAAAGCAGTGCCTGTCACTTGTAGCGTCTGAATTGTGCTTATGTACGGCCTTTTGCAAGTTTCAGCATTTACTTTGTCGCCCGTATCTCAAGTTTGTTTTTCTGGCAGTAAAACGAGATAAATGGTTCAGCTGTAAAGCCATTTCGGCGCCTAGTTGCCATGCCACCCGAAGGAAGCACGAGGGCTGGGATACTGCCAGGTTGCCCAAGCCTAGACGGGGGACAAAGGTCGGGTTCGAACCACAGACCTTCCGCTCAGCAAATTCATACTGTAACCACTGAGTTCTCTCACTCACTTTCTGGCACTGAGAAGTGTTCAGACGCTTGGTGGATAGCATCCAATCTGTATTCCAAGAACAGTAGAGTTTGGGGAAGTCTTCGGGGAACTACTGTACTATGTGAGTACTTATGTGCCTGACAATAGACGGCTTGCTGCAGAACATTTAAGCTGATATTTGGCAAAGTACAACTACACTGGACGAGATGGACCATTGACTACACAGAAGTCGATCAGCGATGGGAGAAGGGTTGCCCGATACACAACGTTCGTCCGCTCTAGTTAATCTGGGTGTTTTAACACCCTCTGGTTCCAATTTGTTGCTGTTATCCTCTCTCCCACCTTCGGCTTGTTGAACCGCACGCTTTTGGTTAATGGCTGGTAACAGACGCGGTTGTATTACGTTCCACCATGGAACAGATGCTACCTACATGTCTGCTAGCAGCATTGACCAGCACGTAACGCCTCACCACCCCACAACTGCTGGGCGTTAACAGAAGCGGTTACGGTTTCGCTCGTTTAGCATGCACAACAATCGACCAAAGTTAGACAGGTGCATGTCGGTACGTGCGGATTCATATTATGCGTGAACCCGATCGCGCCCATGAAACACATGTGGGGAACGGGGTTCAATCGATCGTGGGGTTGTCAGGACGGTGTACTTATCCGCGCTGAATGATCCGCTTTCTCCCATATTCCGCATTTATTTCATAGCCCAAAGAAATGGGAGGCACATCTTTTGGACGAGAGTACCGTTCGCTAAGCCAGATGTTTCATAGAGAAAACTGAAAAATGTAAGCGTCAAGTGGAACTAAACAGTCATTTGCAAGTCAAGATTATGTCAACGAAAATGGCTTGAGTGAGCCCATCGCTTGTAGCATCTTTCCAAGGATTGCTGAACAAAAACACGTCGTGTTTCAGCTTGAACGATATTCAAGATTTTTAATTATTTTTCACGGCACGATACTACTCGTGCCATAAGTAGTGTTGTATAAAAGCAGTAAAACGCCTCATTCAGAAAGGAGTAAAAGGCCTCGAGGAGGTGAAGCTGGCCCACTTTAGTAATGTTGGTTGCTTGGATGCCAGGAAGAAAGAGTTTACGGAGTTTGGTAGTGCTTTGGATCGTCGCCAGAATGCAAAAGTGCTGTGATGGACTGGAAAAAGATACGGCCCGGGGAAAGGTACATGTGTGAGTAACTTTCACTTAGATAGGATATAGCCCACAAATCCGTCAGTCACGGGATCCAAATCACGTGGTCACGCGCGTAACTGGCTTTTCAAGTGACGACTTTTCAGATGGAAGTTTCGCTCACCTAGTGAATTTACTCTCTCTCTCTCTCTCTGAGCTACATATAGATGTGAAAAATTCTTTAAAAAAAACTCCTCAAACTGCTAACAGTAATTCGGCTCTATTTTTGGTTGAACCATTCGAATTGTAAAAAGCACTTAAGAAGTTCGGAGTGATAATCACTGTGCAACTGATATGTCTGATAAACCATTCATATAGACAGTTATCTCCCCAGTATAACAGCTAAAGAGAGAGAGAAGGTCAAACCGCCATCTAAACATTTCAGCTTGTACTGGTGAAAGGAAGAAGGGTTTCGCTGCGGAGTTATTTATTCGGAAATGCCAACTGACCGGTTACAGA